CTCTCTCTCTTTTAGGGTGTTGTGGTCTGCAATGCAAGTATTGAATGGCCACCCTGTTCAGTCTATAGTCTACCTTCAGCACACATCTCCCATCCTGAGCGGCCTTCTAAACAACCTTTACTTGATGGTCCATTCTCTACCTGAGCTGCCTTTTCCCCCAGCATGTGAGGCCGGCCTCCAAACCGTGGAGCAAACCTCCTGGTACTTATTTCTACTATTCTTGGGTGTTAGTTTCCCATTCTGTTACTTTATATTTCAAGATGGTTGTCTTTGGTAGCCGGGTCAGAGAAAGACTCCACAGAGAACTGAACTAGTCTGCGAGGGCCTGGGGCTGTGGGTGAAAGTGGTGATCATGACACAGGCTGAGGAGGGTAATTTGATAACAGAGAAGCCTGAACATGGGATGGTGCCAGTGGTAGAAACTATAAATTCTCTTACACTCACCAAACAGCATACACTGAAGGAATAACAACAAGCGTGAAAGGAATGATCTTTATGGTGCCTCTGAGGGCAAAGAACTGTTAAAAAGGAACCAAGATGGACTGCTATGAATTGGAAGGCAGGTGTTGTTCTTGAAGAGTTCATGAGCAGGGTCATCATGGTGAAAGCATTTACATCTAAGGCAAGCCTTCTACACCATTCAAGAAAGGTCTGGGGAAATGGCAGGCAGCACAGAGGTTGAAAGAGAACAGGTTTAAGAATAGTAGAGATGAGTACCAGGAGGGTTGCTCCATGGCTTGGAAGCCAGCATCACATGGTTGGGGGAAAGGCAGCTCAGATAGAGAAGGGGCAACCGAGTAAAGGGTGATTGGAGGGTCTGCTCGGGATGGGAGATGTGAGCTGAAAGTAGACTACGGACAGAACATGATAGCCACTCAATACGTCTATTGCAAACCGCAACACCCAAAGGGTGAGAGAGAGCAAAAGGGAATGCCCTGCCACAGAGGCAGGGTGGGGTGGGGGGAATGGGTGGGATTGGTGGGAGGGATACTGGGATCATTGGTGGTAGAGAATGGGCACTGGTGGAGAATGGGCACTGGTGGAGTGATGGGCACTTGATCAATGTATGACTGAAATATAAGCATGAAAGTTTGTAAGTGTGTAACTGTACCTCACGGTGATTCATTAAAAAAAATAAAAGAAATATATATAAAAAAAGAGAACAGGTTTCTAATACCTCAATCCAAGGCTTTTGGGCTTACTCTACATGCCTGAGTATGGATCTGCAATCAGAGAAGAGCGCACTTAGCCATAATTAACAACCCAGCACAGACCGAAGTTCCTAAAGTGGTATGAGCTTCAGTCTCTGAAAGGAGAAATGGCCGAACTCAGATGACTTTGAACCAAGCAGCCCAGACCTAAAGGGACATGGACGTGCTCACATCTTTCCTCAAATGTCTTCTGAGTACAATATCACATCTAATCACACTTTCACAGAATCACAGCAGTACCCGCAGAGACTACCGTCTTTTAAACACAGGCCCAGACAGGGGAATCACTGAATAGAGAGCACAATCCCTAGAGCTCATTTGGCCACACTCCGCTGTCTGAATGAGGGCAGGTCCAGGGTGACCTGGGTAACCCTAAGTCCAATGGGGCTGCTGGGGTTCCTCATCCCAATATCGTAAGTAGTGAATGTAATCAATGGAACTGTGAATTTATACTTATGTTGCCAGTTACAGGGTGCCCTTTCTCTTGGCTTTAAAATTCAAGTTTACCAAGTGTTATAAGAGGGTATGGGCCTGCTGCTCTCTCTCTTTTTCTTTCTTTTTTTGTTTTGTTTTTTGGGTTTTTTTTTTTTTTTTTGCTTTTTGGGTCACACACAGCGATGCACAGGGGTTTCTCCTGGCTTTGCACTCAGGAATTACTCCTGGCAGTGCTCAGGGGTACCATGTGGGATGCTGGGAATCGAACCCGGGTTTGCCGCATGCAAGGCAAACACCCTACCCTCTGTGCTATTGCTCCATCCCCCCTAGCTGCCCTCTCTTAATGCAGCATATCCAGGGAGCAGATAGAGGAGCTACAGAGTGGGAGAGTCAAGCCTTTCACTCTAGGACCCTTTCTGCTTTGTAGACTCCCATCTCCCTCCTACACCCAGACCAGCAGTATCAGCTCAGCTTTGCAGCTGCTCAGAGCTGCAGAGTCCTCAGAGGTAGGCACTGCTTGCAGACATGGTTCCCACATTCTGCGATAAAGTGAGTTGTCAGGATCAACGGTGCAGAGTGAGCTATTCTGACTGGGTCACATGCGGTGAAAGTCTGCTTTAAAACATCTCAGGTCACAGAACAAAAGGCAGCCTGAATTCTACCGTCTTTGCAGGTGGTGTTCTACATACAGGGCTCCCAAAGTAATTATCCTCATTTAAGGTCAGTTGAGATTCACCACAATGGTGGCCCACTGACTTTTATCTTCGCTGTGGCTTTTTTAGGGGGCAGGGGGAAGAGGGGATTTTTTTGGATTTTGGGTCTTACCCATGGTGCTTTGGGCTTACTCTCGGTGGGGCTCAGGAAACCATATAGATTGCCAGGATGGAATTCATGGTGGCCGTGTGTGTGAGGTAACTACCCTGCCTACTGTACTGTCTCTCCAGCCCCGGTTCTATCTTTGGATGGTGAAGATCATCCAACCCTTCTCTCAGCTCCAGTTCTTACCCCGGATATACTTCTCTGCCATTAAGGTCCCATGGGCAAGACCAGCCCTTCCACAGGCCTGACCTCTGGCTTGCGGACGGAGCCTCTGTGTCTTCCGTATCAGGGCTCTCCTCCTCTTTTGACTACACAAATGATGCCCCTTTCAGTAGTTCCTTGGGGTATAGCTGGGTCTTATCTCCAAAGCCACCAGGATTTCGTTGGGGAAATTGAAAGTGACATGTCCACAGTGATGGAGTAGGGGCACATTGTGTGAATGTGCCAGGGACAGAGGATCATCCTTGGGGGTATGCTGGTGGAGTTCAAACAAATCACCGCAGCAGCCTGGTGTAGATGGCATTGTCGGAGAAATCAGACCCAGCAAGTTGCTTCAGGTGATACTAAATCAAGTGTCCCGTTTGTATTAGTGATGTGGTATGCTTGACCCCTGCATGAGAGCCCATGTTTTTCCTCCATTAACCTAGATTCTTGGTCAGATGATCAATGACATGGTTACTAAGTGGGCAGGGGAAAGCAGATGGATTGAGATGGCAAGGGGGCAGCTAGGGGCAGGGAGAGTTCACAGTTATCAGTAGCACTGTAGCACTGTCCTCCTGTTGTTCATTGATTTGCTCGAGCGGGCACCAGTAAAGTCTCACAACAAATTGTGAGACTTGTTGTTACTGTTTTTGGCATACTGAATATGTCACAGGTAGTTTGCCAGGTTTTGCTGTGCAGTAAAGATACTCTCGGCAGCTTGCCGGGCTCTCCGAGGGGGCGGAAGAATCGAACCCGGGTCGGCCATGTCGGCTGTGTGCAAGGCAAACGCCTTACCCGCTGTGCTATTGCTCCAGCCCTGCTATCGCTCCAGCCCATACAGTTATCAGTATGTCGGATCAAGTGGCATTATCTCAGGCCATTCCCATGAGCACACATCAGAGACAGGATTCTGAAACTCTGTTCCTCAGAACAGTAGAACAGAAAGGGATTGTGGGGGAGGGGTCCCTCATTAGTAGGGGTGGAAAGGCCTATGTAGAGAGTACTGGGCACATCCTGTTCCACCAAGGCTAAAGTGTGTGCACTCATGGCATGACCTGCATCCACTGAGAACAAACCTAGCAAGGAAGGAGGTTGTGATCAGGAAGATCCCTGAGACCCCGCTGTCCTGCATGTGCCTCCATGACGTCCGCTTCTGTATCACACCTTTTCACTGACTTCTTTATTCATGTCTGCGCCATTAAAGAATCTGAGGCATTTTCAAGGAAATACATGACTTGCATGTTTCTTTAATTGGAACTCAGAATCAGAACTCAGGGAGGTACTCTGTGTATATGATCTAATTTCGAGAAAACGGAGACTCAAAAAAACAAGCCTGAGGTCTCACTGTTACTAAGTGGCATTTCGATTTGAATCTAGGTCAGAAGTATAAGCTCTCTTTGGTGTCATGCTACCTAAAACTTCAGTCTGCTTCTTTGGAACGCCCAACCCAGGAGAGTACAGAGTCACCAGGAGTCGCGGCTCTGAACCCACACAGCAGGGCCCAAGCCCTACCCCTGACTGCACCAATTTCAGGTGATCCTTTTCCGGTCAGGGTACCAGGTCTCTCTGACCCTTGTTTTCCTCAACTATGAGAAGGGGAGAGTATAATGCTCCAGCTCTGTCACAAGAGTTCACCAAGATTATATCCTAGACACTCTTTCAGAAGTTATAAGTGTGACTTGGGCAAAGAGTTGAACCTCCTAGGCCATCCTGTGTTAAGAAAGAATCCTGGGATATCCTCCAGTCAAGATGACGACAACATCATGACACACATCTGGGAAGCACCTCTACAAGTCCTTTAAACAATGACCACACAACCTTAGTTAAATCATCCTTTCATCTAGGGCTGAACATTCTTAGATAATGTAACCATGCAAACCATTAGTGAAATTAGCATAGAATACTTAGAAAATAAATGGAAGGAAAAATCTTGAACTGTAGCATGAAGTCATTAAGTAAAAAACCAAATAGGGATGTCTTCTTGTTCCAAGAACATGAAGCAGAAGCGTGACTAGAGCATGTGACTAGAATCCCTTTATCCTCCTCCCCACCACACACAAATGTTTCCTCCACTTGACACTCCTCCCCTTTCAGTGAGTGGGGTAAGGGTACCGTGGGTGAAGAGGATGGATGCGCTGTTATCGTTAGGATGGGAGGTTGTCTCTGATTTGGGTGTTGGAATGCTGGGACTAGTTGTCCCATTATAAATAAAAGGGACAACTGGGAGTTATTTATAATGTCAATGAACATTTGTTTATACTACTCTCCAGATGAGGTTACTAAGTATATGCTTCAAAATGCATTACTTTAAACTACATAAAAAAAAAATCTAACCTTTATGCGGTCAGGGTCCACATAATGCATATTTTTCATGTCACATTCTTCAGTAGTATAATTTAACTTGAAAAGGATCCATACTCCAAACACAAACAATATACACCTGGGGGGAGAAAATAAATAATACACAAAGATGCAGTCATGTGATCATCAAGTGACATCAGGAGAAATACGTGGAACCCTAACCCAAAAGGAGTTGCCTCTTATGTGGCATAAAGTGACAGTATTTAAATTGAATACAGCAGTGAAAGGAAAGCACAGTTTCTTATTTTCCTGAGTAAATCAGTAATTTATGACTATGTTATAAGAGGATAAAATAATATTTTGCACAGAGGCACCATATTACTATTATTATTATTATTATTATTATTTTGCACAGAGGTACTATAATCAAATCTGAACCACAATGCAGATTACTGAGATTCACATTACCAGTATTTAACAGTGGCACAAAGTTAGATTCAATAGTTCTAAATCTATTACATTTTTTTTAAAATCTCAGTAATCTGCATATGCGGTGCCAGGGATCAAATGAGGCTTGCCAGCATTGTCTAAACAATCCTTTCAGCCTGAAAAAACTGCTTTTAAATTCTGATAAGTTTACACAATTATACAATTTTAAATATGTGCATTCACGTATCTAGGATTTGAACAAAAGAATTAAGCTGAACTCTGGCTCTAGGAATCTTGGTTTTAATTAGCTCACCAAATGATACTGACAACTAAAGTTGAAAAAAGTTTATACTAGAGTTTGAGAATCACTGGTCACTCCTGGTAGTGTTCATATGTAGTGTTGGGAATTGAACCAGGGTCAACTGCATGCAAGGCAAGTACCTTAGCCCCTATACTATCTCTTCAGCCCTAAGAACCGCTGTTTTGAACTGAGATTATTAAAGGTGAGGGGTGTGCTCAAAGGGTGGAGGGGGACCCACAGTTCATGTGGCGGGGGGTTATGGCACTACGGTGGTGGATATGGAGTGAGACCATTGTACCCTTACAACTTACAAACATACATATTGTGCTATAAATCAAATATTACCCCAGTAAAAATTTTAAATTGAGTTCAAGAATTATTGCTTTAAATAATTTCTTTTGTTAAAAGTTAAGGAATAATGTTAAGGGGAAAGTAACCTATTTCCTGAAGATAGGGTGAATTTTTTAAAATTATGGGGCCAGAGCGATAGTACAGTGGGTAGGGTGCTTGCATATGGCCAAGTTACATTTGATTCCTGGCAACCCATATGGTCCCCTGAGCCCATCGGGAGTGATCTCTGTGCATAGGGCCAAGCGTAAGCCCAGAGCACCGCCAGGTTGTGGCCCAAACAACAAAAACCCCAAAATAAAAACACTGCATGTATTATAGTATTGGATTTCTACTTTTGAACACAAAAAAGGGGTACTTTTCAACTTAGCTTAACTGATACTAAATAAACTGTTTAAACAACTCAAACACTTATTCGGATATAAGTGTGACACAGCAGAAAAACCCGTAATCCTCAGAAGTATTCAATATTTATTGTTACTCGAAGGAGACTTTAATTATCTCTATAAGAGTTAAAGGGAAAGTCTTTGTTAAATAATGTGAGGAAGAGCTGGACCTGCAAGAACTTCTTTCTGGAGCTTTGAAACCCATGTGGAAGCTGGTTGGTTGCAACGGGGGAGTCATACCGTTACCAAACACTGCCTGACACACCGCACTTCCAGTGATCTTTGACCAAGGATGAGGAGCACTTTTAGGGCTCACATTGAATTTTTTTCTCCATTCCGCACAACTGACCAGAGTCAAGGGGATCTCAAGGCCCGAGGGCCTGAACTTACTTGAGAATGTCTTTTAACAGCGAGTTGGGTCTTCTCATCTTGTTTTGAGCTCGGATGCACCATTGCAGGGAGGATTTGGAGCACTCACTAATCAACTTCACATCATTATACTCACTTTGCATTGCTGTGAAAGAGAGAGGGAGAACGCAGAGTCAGAAGAGGGAACGAGGAAGTTGAAGAATGTCTTTAAAGAATGTCTTTGCTTTCACATCATGGCACAGCACTCAGCAATAATAAAGAATGAGCTATTTTTTACATAAAAATTTACTGTGGGGCTGGAGCAATAGTACAGTAGGTAGGCATTTGCCTTGCACACAGCAGACAGGGTTCGACCCCCGGCATCCCATATGGTTCCCCCAGCACTGCAAGGAGTAATTCCTGAGTGCAGAATCAGGAGTAATCCCTGAGCATCACTGGGTGTGACCCAAAAGAAAAAAAAATTACTGAAAGGTTAAGGAATAATCTTAAGAGGAAAATAAACTATTTCCTGAAGACAGGAGGAATTTTTTAAAATCTTGGGGCCAGAGCAATAGTACAGTGGGTAAGGCCCACGGATAAATGTAGAAAGAATTGTCCTCAGCTACTACTATGAGGTTACATATTGTATGGCTCCATTTATAAAACATTCATGAAATGACAGAATTACAGAAATGGAGAACAGATTAGTAGTCAGGAGTTACTGCACAAGGGGATTGGGGGGAGTATGGTTATGGAAGGGCAAAATAAGGGTTTTGGTTTTTGGGCTACACCCAGCTGTGACTGGTGAAAGAGATGATTGCTAAGAACTTCCAGTTCTCTGAAGAGAAGCTCCTACATAGATTCAAGAGGCCCAAAAAGTACCAAACAAAATAGGCTCAAACAAAACAATGCCAGGACACAATGTAATTAAAATGGTAATAACCAAAAAGAGAGAAAGACTATTTAAAGCATCGATAGAAGAAAACTTCAAATACAAAGGAAATAACATAGAGAATCACAACAGATCTCTCATACGAAACCATACAAGCAAGAGAAGAGTAGAATGAAGTATCATATGTCTATATCTATATCTGTCTGTCTGTCTGTCTGTCTATCTATCTATCTATCTATTTATCTATCTGTATTTGCTTTTTGGGTCACACCCGGTGATGCACAGGGGTTACTCCTGGTTTTGCATTCAGGAATTACTCCTGGCGGTGCTCAGGGGACCATATGGGATGCTGGGAATTGAACCAAGGTCGGCCGCGTGCAAGGCAAACGCCCTACCCACTGTACTATCGCTCCAGCCCCGAAGTATCCAAAATATTGAATGAAAACTTTCAACCTAAAATCCAACTACACTAGGTTGAGGGAGGGATAAAAGACAAACAAGAGCTCATGACATTTGCTTTAACGAAATAAATCCAACCCTGCAAAAATTACCCTCCTTCCCCAGCCCCTACCAACACATACAAAGAAAAATGGCAATATCTCTTAATGTCAATAGACAAAAGTCTCCCATCAAAAACCATAGAGTGGCTGGCTGAATCAGTTAATAAAATCCATCTGTTTGTAGGAGACACTCATAAATTCACAGAATTGCTACAGGCTAAAAGTGAAATAATGGAAAACATGCCAATGGTAGACCCCTCCTCCAAAAAAAAAGTAGCCACACTTATATCATACTGAAGAGCATTCACTCTAAAGAAAGTAATTAGGGAGAGGGACAGATACTATAATTGGTCAAGGGAACAATAGGTGAAGAAATTCTAACTCTCATAGGCCAAACAAAGTGTGCAAAATTTCTTTGTTGACATAGGTCAACGAAGTGTGCAAAATTTCTGCCAACTCAGAGACCTAAAGAAACACATTAATGGAAATACAATAGTAGTGGGAAACTGAAATACTCCACTTTCACCACTAGATAGATAAACCACACGGAATGTTAGTAAAGAGCGAAGAGTCCTAAACTAGGAGTTTGAAGAACTGAGATTAGTTGACATATGCAGGACCCTCCCTTTCAAAACGGCAAATGCACATTCTTCTCTTGCACACATGGGACATTCACCAGGACAGATCACATGCTAGGGCATAATTCAAACTTACATAAATTTACAAAATTAGAAATCATCCATGAACCCTCTCAGGCCACAATGTCATGAAGGTAGAAATTAACCACAGAAAGAAGATGTGGGGAAATGCCAACACTTGGAAGTGGAACAAAACCCTGCTATGTAACAACTGGATCAAATAGGAAATCAAGGAAGAAATAAAAAGTTTCCTAGAAGCTTAAGAGAATGAAGGAACAAATCATCAGAATCTCATGGGTACAACAAAGCTATACTAAAGGGAATATTCATAACAATATAGACATACCTTAGGAAAGAGAAAAAGCTCAAATCATCAACTTAAAAACATGTCTGATACTGTGAACAACTTTATAAAAATAAAATAAAATTGTTTTGTGGAAAAACATTTCTCAAACACCTGTAGAAGAAATAACAAATGAATCCAAAAATAGAAGGAAAAAATTATAAAAACTACAGCGGAAATCAATAATATAGAAACCAAGAAAGCAATATAGTCAATGAAACCAGGAACTGGTTCTTCGAACGATAATCAAGATAGGTTAAACTTTGGCTAGATATACAAAACTTCTTTTAACTTAGTTTTATATTAAGTTTCTCTCCAGTTGGGGAGTTCCTTTTCCTTTCTTTTCTACTTTCCAAAATAAATAATAAACAAACAAACAAACTTTGGTTAGGCTCATGGGGGGGGGGGGAAATAAATTCTGAGAAAATGCCCAAATAAATTGGACCAGAGATGAAGGGACGAAATTACAACATACCCCTGAGATATCATGAGAAGTTACTATTATCAACATTATGCTGTTACGCTGGAGTACCTAGAACAAACAGATTGATTCTTAGAATCACGTGATCTCCCAAAACAGAGAGAGGAGAAAATAGATCATCTGAACAAGCCAATTGCAAGCAAGGAAACTGAAGTGGTAATTAAGAACTTCCCCATGAATAAAAGCCCTGGACCAGATGGATTCACTATTGAGTTCTATCAAACCTTTAAAGAACAATTTCTGCCTTTATTCCATAGGCTCTTCCAAAATATTGAAGGAAAAGGAATCCTTCCAAAAAGTTTCTATAAAGGCAACATTACAATAATACCTAAAGCAGACAGATTAAGCAGACTGCTTAAAAAAGATGTCAGACCCCCTTCCCTGATAAACACTGATGCAAAAATCTCAACAAAATCTCAGCAAATGAAATTCAACAGCATTTCTAAAAAATAATATACCATGATTAAATGGGATTCATCCCAGGCATGCAAGGATGGTTCAACATACACAAATCAATTAATGTATTACATGACATCAATAAAAAGGAAAGATAAAAATCATATGAACATACCAATTGATGCAGAGAAAGATTTTGACATGATCATCCATTCATGTTAAAAAAAAAAAAACACCTCGGGGCTGGATCAATAGAACCGTGGGTAGGGCATTTGCCTTGCATGCGGCTGACCCGGGGTTTGATTCCCAGCCTGCCATTTTTTCCCCCAAGTATCGCCAGGAATAATTCCTGAGTGCATGAGCCAGGAGTAACCTCTGTGCATCACCAGGTGTGACCCAGGAAGAAAAAAAAAAGAAAAAAAACCCCAACAAAATAGGGGTGGAAGATCAAGATAATGGCCACTTAAAACAAACCCACAGCCAGTATCATTCTCAACAGTGAAAAACTGAAAGCATTCCCTTTAAGATCAGGCATGAAGTAAGGATGTCCACTGTCCCCACTTTTATTCAATATGGTATCAGAAATTCTAGGACCAGCAATTAGTCAAGAAAAACTCAAAGGGATCCAAACTGGAAAAGAAGTCAAGTGATCGCTTCTGCAGATAACATAATAATATACATAGACAAAACTAAAAGCCCATTAAAAAGTGACCAAAAACAATAACTTATCAATACAGCAAAGTAGATAACTACAAAGTCAACACCCAAAAGTCTATTGCATTCCATATGCAAATAATAAAGAGAAAGAGGTCAAAGAGTCCATTCCATTCAAAATAGTGTTCCAAAACATCAAGTACCTAGTAATTAACAGAAGATCTGATAGATCTATGAACGAAAACTATAAGTCACTTAAGAAAGAGATAGAAGACCTTAGAAAGAAAGTGAAAAATAGACCATGCTCATGGATTGGAATGATCAATATTGTCAAAATGACCATCCTATGTAAATTATTACATAGATGTAACATAATGTCAATTCAAATTTTAATGACATTCTTCACAAGCTTAGAATAGGAAATAATAAAGTTTGTATGGAACCATAAGACACCCCAAATAGCCAAAGCCATACTGAGAAATAAGAAATTGGAGATATCTCATTACCTAACTTAAAACTTAGAATGTTATAAATACAGCCATTGCGAAAGCATTGTATAAATTCAATGCAATCCCTATAAGGATACCCATGACATTCTTCAAAGAAATGGAGCAAACACTCTTGAAATTTATATGGAACAATAAGCCCCCACGAATAGCTAAAGCAATTCTTGGGAAAAAGAAAATGGGAGGAATCAACCTCCCGAACTTCAAACTGTACTACAAAGCAGTAATAATTAAAACAGCATGGTACTGGAACAAAGGCAGAACTGCAGACCAATGGAACAGGGTTGAATACACTGACATCTCTCCTCAATCATATGCTCATCTAATCTTTGATAAAGGTGCAAGTAATGTGAAGTGGAGTAAGGAAAGCCTCTTTAATAAATTGTGTTGGCATCACTGGACGGCTACATGCAAAAAAATAGGCTCAGAACTCTGCCTAACACCATGTACAAAAGTAAGATCAAAATGGATTAAAGACCTCAACATCAGACCAGAAACCATAAGGTACATTGAAGATAAAGTTGGCAAAACCCTCCATGACATTGAAGCTAATGGTATCTTCAAAGATGCCACGCCACTGGCCGAGCAAGTGAAAACAGAGATAGATAAATGGGACTATCTTAAACTAAGAAGCTTCTGCACCTCCAAAGAAACAGTGACCAAAATACAAAGACAGTCTACAGAATGGGAAAGGATATTCACCGAATACACATCTGACAAGGGGTTGATATCCAGGATATACAAAATACTGGTTAA